CCGAGAATGGCGCATCTGCTAGCGATTGGATGTTCTGGGGAGTGTTCGATGGCCATGGCGGTTGGGTCACCTCAGCGAAGCTGCGCCAGACGCTCATTTCATATGTAGCACGCGAGCTCAACACCACTTACAAGTCCGCTCTCGCAGACCCCGCCCTCCGCTTTCCTACTCCCGAGTCTATCGAGAAAGCCATCAAGACTGGGTTTCTACGCCTTGATGATGAGATTGTTCACGAATCCGTGAAGAAGGTGACCAAGGCCCAGTCGAAGAACGTTGCCGCGGAGCTCCTCGCTACCGCCCTATCTGGCTCCTGCGCGCTGCTCTCCTTCTACGACAGTCGATCGAAACTCCTTCGCGTTGCATGCACAGGTGACTCGCGTGCAGTCCTCGGACGACGTGGGCCCAACGGCAAGTGGACGGCTACTCCTTTGTCCGAAGATCAAACGGGCGGAACTACCAGTGAAGCCCATAGGCTGCGCAGAGAGCACCCCGGAGAGCCGAATGTAGTCAAGAACGGCCGTATTCTTGGAGGCCTTGAACCATCTCGTGCTTTTGGTGACGCTTCTTACAAGTGGTCCCAAAAGACTCACGCAGAGATGAGGAAATTCTATACCAGGAGTCCAAACAAGCTGCTCCAGACTCCCCCCTACGTGACGGCTGAGCCAGTCATCACTACCACAAAGGTGGAGCCAGAGATGGGTGACTTCGTTGTCATGGCCACGGATGGATTGTGGGAGATGCTGACTAACGAAGAAGTCGTTGGTCTAGTTGGGCAGTGGCTAGAAGATCAAAAGACCGCAAAGGGGAAGAATGTGCAGGCTAACTCGTGGGTGAAGAGCTGGTTCTCTGCCCAGAAATCTTTGCCAATTGAGCACAACGGCGCCGATTCGGACGGAACAGGTCAGCGGGCACCACTTCGCCAAGCACAATGGGGCACTACCATGTCGATGAATGAGCGATTTGTGGTCCAGGATCAAAACGCAGCTACCCATCTTGTGAGGAATGCTCTCGGTGGAAAGGACACAGACCAACTCACCGCTCTGCTGACCCTCCCTCCTCCGCATTCAAGGCGCTACAGGTATGTAAAATTGTACATCTCGGCCAAACGAAACTAACCAAAAGCAGGGATGATCTAACAGTCGAAGTTATCTTCTTTGGCGAAGGGGCTGTCACAGGAAATGTCACGCTGAACAAGGAAGCCAGTGCTGTTGTGCCAGAGGCCAAGCCTAGACTGTAGAATCATGCACGTGAGGTTGATACCCGTTCCAGGTTTCCACTACCCTTCAGCTTAGATATCTGTACATCTAGCGCGGCGTTTTGGTTTAATGTTCGCTGGGACATGCATGGCGTTACTGGGAATGGAGGTCTGCTACTCTCGCATTTAGACGAGTCCATTTCCAAGGGTAGCGAGCTTCCTTTCCCTCGAGCTATTCTTCCACGCGGGAAGCGGAAGCAATTCTTCAATGACCAAGAGGGGAGTTGTTAACGGGGCACCCAGTAAGCATTATTTGGGCCCCCAATAAGCTCGATTGGTTATTCCGCCAAGCACGTTACTAGTAGCCATGTTTCAAGCTAGCTCAGTCAGCAGAAATGTAATTATCTTCGTTTTGGCAGGGTAATCGTACGTGTAGTCATATTGCACGACCGTTGTTACTGTTGGTGCTTTGACTGAGTAGTTGGTCATTATCCTAATCACGTGATGGACCGCATTTTAATCAAGTGATCACGTTTTATCGATTGATCGGATTTTGATCAATTGCTCAGATTTTGATCGATGGATTGTAGGAAAGCTCTGCTGCACGTAACTCTCATTATCAACGTGCACGTAGGAACTCCCATTCAAAACAAAAAAGAATTGTATTAATACAGCGAGTACAACATTAGGGGGCCCCCGTTAACAACTCACGACCAAGAGCCCTCAGATACCGACCGAATTTAAGAATCCGTTTCGAGTCCGTTCCTAACATTGTTCTCCGAAGAAGAGTGTTGTTAAGCCAGGTACCTGACCGTCGTTGATTGTCCAGCCTATGCAGTGGCTCCTGTGAGTTGAATGGAATAATCCAGCCCCTTGCTAACTTCTGCAGACAATGAAAAGGCATCATACTGCACCAGCGCTGGTGTGTTCACCACGACGAGACTGGCCTCCTCGCCCGTCGCCAGCGTCGCACTCGCGCTCCCATCCACATCCACATACCTGATGGCACCACTCGCCGCTTTCACTGCCAACGTCGCAGTGTAATTACCCGTTGCCGTAACAGTTACACTAACCGTTGAGGCCGTGGTTGTTAGGGGAATGATGTTGGCGCCCATGTAGCGTGGCTGACGTGCCGTTTTCGCTGTATACTTGCCGTTTCCATTCGAGTCCAGATTCGCATACGTCAAAGTCTCTCTTTGTGTATTGAACAAAGCCTGCGCCTTCTCGTGTCCAATATCCACGTAAGCCATGCGTGCCCAGTACCTGCCAATGACCTTCTGAATGGTCACGCCGCTCAGCAATCTCTCGAGCGAGTGCAGTGGCGTTTCGTTGCTGTTCAAGTCGTACTTGCGGATCATGTCCAGGAGCGCTGATTTTCCGAGCCCGGTGTAAGAGTCGGGATTGTTGGTGATGTACGACAAGAATGGCCACGCTTGGTAGTTGTTTCCGGTGTCTGCGGTTGCGTCCACGATGACCTGGTGCGAGTCGCCGATCACTTTGTCCAATTCAATCAAACTGTCGCCTCCAGCAAGACCGGCGGCGGTTTTCGCTTTTTCGCACAGGGGCGTCGCGATATAGGAGTCGGCTATGAAATTTGCAATTGTTTCCCACCATGCGCCTGTTCTATTAGGTGAATTGTTAGAAAGTGATCGAGCAGATGGGTAGTGGGAAAGGGGAAACGTACCGTGTCTGATCAATCCAGTTCTTCTCCGAATAATGCATCGCGTGTCCATATTCATGCACTACCACATCCGGCATAGCAATATACTCCTCCAAAACCTTCAGATACGCCAATCCCGCGTCCGGATCCGCGGTTTGCACTCCCGCGGCTCCAGGAATATCGCTCTCCGCAACCTTGTAGATGTTCGTCTTATACCAAGGCCCGTTGTTTCCCGTCGTTTCCTGAGCGAGACCGGGAGTTCGCCATCCCTGTTCTTCGACGAAACATTGATGCGCTGCTTCCAATACTTTTATGGATTGTGCGGCGGCGCTAGCATCAGCGACGTTGTAGAGACGGAAATGGGCCGAGTCTTTGTAGCTTCCGCTACCGCCGCCAACGGAGGGGTTAGCTGTATATTCGGCTGGCGCAACGGCGGTTGCTACACCTGCGGGGCGGGCAGATGCGTGGTTGGCATAATATGCGAGGGTAAGGGTAACGACAGTTGGGAAGGTAAACATGATGACAAAGAGTGGACTGCGGTTCAACCGATACCGACTAAGAATAACGTTCCGTGCTGCTCTTATACTTTGCTTTGCGATACGGAGAAATTAGGTGTCGAGGTACTCGGGTCTAGGTACATAGTTTCATTATCCATCTAATAATGGGATATGGGAAGATCGCCCAAGACAATTCATATCTAAGACCACCCAAGACAATTCATATTTGAGATAATTAGAGGGAAGGAAATTAAAATCGGATCAGGTCTCGGATACACTCCGGCGTCCCAATCGGGAACCGAGAATTAGCCGGCAGCTTTTCGAAGCCCAACTCGAATGTATTATAGAACCTGAACGAGCTTGGTTGGCTGATGTTCAATTATGTAATTAAATGAATCGGGGCGAGGGTATTAGGCAGATTTGCTGTAGGATCAACATCAACGCATATGTAGTGGTACATATGGCAAGTAGACAGGGGTAATTTCCCACCAAGGGCCGGCAGAAACTGTGATTGAGTGTCAGGATTAGCCTAAAGTGTTGCGACATGTAGTGAAATGATCTGGATAGAAAGGTTGTGATATGGTGATTCTGGATGGCACAGCCCCGAGCTTTCTCGTACGCTTATTTTAAATATTGGTACCAAATATTCTCCGACCATGATCTCCCTACTGTTTCCCATTTGGAGGTTTCAATACATACTCGCTCAACGCGCCAAGGTGTTCCACCTTGGCTCTTCCTAGTTAAACACCAATAATCACCCCAACACTGATTTTTCACCTACAATCACCTTTATTACGCGATTTTTCCACACAACACGATAACTACGCGATTTGGATCCTACAACGACGTTAAAAGGCGTATCTAAAAGGCCCTTAATAATATTAATACTAATAATCCTAATTTAAGTGCGCTGGCGCGTAATTTTGTAGTGCTATATAATTAACTTTAACAGCGTTTTTATAGCTAAATTAGCAAAATAGACCGCCCTAGGGCAAATTAACGCCTTAACGCGTTGCAGGAGCAAGCTGTACGTTAATATATTAATTATTGCGATAGATTATCTATGCCTGCCCTAATCCTGCAGCTTTAAAACGCGATTTAATATATCCTTAATCTAGATAATCCCTCTAGTAAGGCACCTCTAATTAGCAAATCCTTCCTTACTTAATAGCTGCAACGCAATCCTAATTGCAAACGTATTAAATAGAAGCTGCAGGAGCTTAATTAAATTGCCGCTAACGCTTACGATTAATATAACGCCTATTTTAAGGCCCTTAAGGCTGCTATATAAGACTATAGGATAACGCTAATAGACTGCTATAATATAGACGAAACTAGCTTCTGAATTAGCTGTAGAGGCTTATAATAGATTGTTATAAGAGACGCTAAGCGTTAGAAAAACAGCCCTAGCAATATAAATCGCAATTATATTACCTCTATTAAGGTAATTAGTAGTAATAGAGTTGCCCTGCCGCCCCTTCTTATCCTCTAAGGCTCCGTACATCTAGAGAAGTAGTACACACACAGCACACTTCTAGATAACTATAGTATTAGCCTTTTATCCTTAGGCTATGCTAATAACATAATATCTCTAGATTAGCTAAAGCATTTTAATTTATAGTCCTCCTAAAGGCAGATTAGCGCCTAGAGGCTGCTTATATTTAATAGATTTAGCTCCTACTGCACTAAGGAGTTTATTAATTACGCAGATAAGAAGAAGATTGTCTGTTTTACGCTTCCTCCTTACACATCTTATAACCTTCAGCCGCTTAACGTTATCTGTTTTCAGCCTTTCAAACACTACCACAAGGCTGCAGTTAAGCAGGCAACTTAAACAGGCTGCCTTAATTTTAACAAGCTTAAGTTCCTTAACGCTATTAATAGTATACGTTAAGCAACGTTCAAGCCTCGTACTATACTATTAAGCTAGGAAAAAACTAGTATTTAGCCTTAGAACCCCTAAATTATACTCTAAAAGCTTCCTGTTGCTCAGCCCTATACTCCTCTACAGCCAGAATTTAACCTTAATAAGCCTTACACGCCTACTCTAATAATAATTCAGTCCTATAAGCGCTATTTAAAGGACATACTTAGGCGCCTAAAAGGCAAACAAGTTAATCCTTGCTGCATAGAGAGATTTATGCGTGCTTCTGCTACCTTTGCAGATCTAAAGGAGCTGGCTAAGGCGGAGCTCCGCTTTGTTACAGCCGCAGAAACAGCGCAGCGCAAGCAACAAGACGCTAGCTAGAGGTAAATTAGAGCTTAGAAGGGTAGAGTACTTACTGCAGCCTCTGCGCGCTTAGCAGTAAATGCGCGGGTTAAGCAGGATGCTTAGAAGGTTGCCTAACAGGCTGCGCGCGCATACAAATTAAACCCTCAAGCTATTGCAAGCAACCCTGCGGGCAGCACCTGCGCAACGCCTAGGGAGGCTCTAAAACCTAATTAAGATATCTTTAAAAACCTATTAATAGCAGACTTTAAATAACAGCATCTTAATTCACGTTATAGTTAATTAGGGTGCTTAGAAGGTCGCTAAACAGCCTGCGCGCGCTTACAAATTAAACCCTTAAGCTATTGCAGGCAACTACGCAACGCACAGGGAGGCTTAAAAAAATTAATTAAGATATCTCTAAGAAATTATTAATCTTGCACTTTGTATAATAGCATCTTAATTTACATAGTTGTTAATTTATTAAACTGCAAACATAAGATCTTATACAAAATCGCGTTTAAGCGATGTTTGGCGTTTAACTGGGAAGGGCTAAGGTAGAACACCTTAGCCCCCCGTTGGGCGAGTATGTCGTCTTTATTCTTCCTGTTTCGTTCTTCACTAGTCTGTTAGATTCGGCTACGATATAATCCATCCCTTGGCGTGGTACTGTAATAAGTCTTAGCAGATATAACAGAGCTTTGTAGAGTAGCCTTTATCTTCTTTTGAATTTGACAAGTGTCCACAAATCAGTGCCCTGCTAGGTGGTCCATGGATCGTCTATGAAGGTGAGGAACAATCCCTCGTTTTTTTCCCAAGCATCTACTGTTGAGAGGATTGATAAGATTGATAAGATTGATGACATCCTACTCTACGTATTGCATGTCGGAAATCAGTTGTTCTGGTAGTATCTTTCCAGGAAGTCATTCGAAAGAATCTTCAGCGTAGCAATTATCGTAGCAAGTATGGTCTTTATTGAGGAAAATAGCTTTGTTCATATTCGTAGTCTGGGAGAGAAGCCACTTACTCAATAAAACGATTCGTAAATCAAGACCTTCTTTATAGTTGCTTTTTAATGTGTTGCTTGTTGGATGTGTGATATGATAAGTGGGTTGTATTGGAGATGGAGGACTTTCAGCCGGAAGCTATTATATATACCCTTAGCGCCTGATCGGGCCTTTCGCTTCCGCACGGTAGGAAGGCTCCTTCTCTCATTCTTGTGATCCCTTCCTTTTCAAACATTGCTTGCCGAGTGGACGTACTGAGTTCGGATGTGGAACAAGACTCATATTAATATGAATCGAATAGTACCTTTGTACACATAGTAACCCCAATACTCACACACCTTCTATCGGGGGATGTAAGAACGATATAATTGGTCAAATGTTTACTATGTACATGAATCGCATCGCGATCAGGCTGCACCAATGATTTACCCCCTCCCGTTCAATATTGGTGCCCGCCATAATATTAGTCCACAACCCATTTACCTAGACCTTATTGGTTAGATAGCCTCTTACCTTTGTAGACTTCGCCCTTACATACTTTGTAGCTTACTTAACTAGTAAATAAGTAAATAATTCTTCTAGCTAATAAGATTAGGGTTAAGCTACAAAGTAAGGGCGGCCACAATAACTAGCGCCCCCCTTGGCACGATGCGGACGCCGACGCGGACGCGAATGGTCGGACCAAGCGACTTTTTGGCCATGATTGCAGGTCATTCATTGATGCTTTGCTATTTATTGTAATCAGCGGCGCGCCTCAATCTTACTGCCACACTTCTACATCTTAAACCATGATTGATGAGCTTCTCCAAGGAAGCCTTCTGGCAGTAACTCTGAAGGGAGTGGGCCTCGTCTTTTTGTCGACCATAGTCTATGCATGCCTTCCGATCACATCCACCTCTCGACTTGAACTGACTTCTCTAGGGAGTACTACTTGGTCTATACAACACAACTCTACACCCTCTGCGATCCTATCCAGGGCCCTTCCTGTGGCGCGCATACCAATGGCCCTTTCAACGCTCCATCATCTCGGGACGCTTTCCATTCGACACGCTCGAGTTGCACAAGAAATATGGCCACGTCGTTCGCGTCGCACCCTGGGAGCTTTCATATACGGATTCTAAAGCTCTGAAAACCATTTATGGTCACCACAACCCTGCCACGGATGGCTACAGCGAGTTCGAAAAAGATCGCATGGAGTATCAGAAATCCCCAAACGGAGTCTACAGCATCCTGGCCGCATATGGACCGGACCATGGTCGCTTCCGACGGCTGCTCAGTCATTCCTTCTCTGAAAAGGGCATGCGCGATATGCAGCCTCGCATCCAGTCTTTCGTGCAACTTCTTGTCAAGGGCTTGAGAGAATCTGCGCAGTCCGGCGGGTATACTGACATTCTTGAGTGGTATAACTGGACAACTTTTGACATGATTGGGGACCTCGCGTTCGGCGAATCCTTCCACTGTCTCGAGCTTAAGCGCACGGACCCTTGGATCGCAGCAATCTTTGGCACCGTCAAAGTCTTGTCCTGGATTTCCACCATCCGACGATATAAACTCGGCTCTCTTATCCCGTATCTAACACCCAAGAAACTTCTCGAATTCCGCCTCTTCAACCTACAACGCAATCGCCAAAAAATTGACGAGCGGACCGCACTGGGCACAGACCGAGGCGACTTTTGGGATAACGTGATTGAGAAATCTGATTTTGAGAAGGGTACAGGAATGACAAAGGAAGAAATGGTGAGCAATGCATCAATCTTGGTGCTGGGAGGTAGCGAGACGACGGCGACGTTATTGTCGGGAACGACGTATTTACTGCTTATGAACCCTGAAAAGATGAAGAAATTGCTGGAAGAGGTTCGGGGTGCGTACAAGCACGATGATGAAATTGATCTTCTGAGTGTCGGTAAGCTTGAATATATGCTTGCGGTGTTCGATGAGGCAATGCGGATATATCCTCCAGTGCCAAATCAGGGCAATCGAGTTGTGCCACCGAACGGAGCAATGGTGGCAGAAAAATGGGTAGCTGGTGGTGTATGTTCCATCCCTCTTTTCTACACAGTGGAATCATCGCACATATACAAGACGCTAACACCACTCCAGACCTCACTCCAAGTCCAGCAATACGCCTCCAGCCACTCCCCAGCCAACTTCCATCTTCCTGAGTCTTTCGTTCCCGAACGCTGGCTCTCTTCCCCGCCACCTGAGTTCGCGAACGACGACCGCACTGCTCGCGCGTCTTTTAGTCTCGGTCCTAGAAACTGCATCGGACGGAATCTGGCTTATGCGGAGATGCGGTTGATTCTAGCGAAGGTGTGCTATAATTTCGACCTAGAGCTGGATGAGAAGAGGAGCGGAGAGTGGATCGCGGAGCAGAAAATCTTTGGACTGTGGGAAAAGGGCCCGCTTTGGGTAAAGTTGACGGAGGTGAAGAAGTAGAGGACGGGAGGATGGGAGCATGTATGGTGTCACGTGCCTAGATCTGAGCGCGGGTTATATGTATAACATGGCTGATGTGGACAGGGGCCATTTATCAAGACTGGAATCGGTTAATATATGATAGGTGAGAAGCGGTCGCTGCGGCTGAATGTCATGGTGGGTCGACCTTTAGCCGACGCCAACGCAACGAGGCGAAACGCTTTTCATCTTCCCAACCTTGTACTTGTAGAATTTCGCAAAAAAACTGGAGAAGTAAACGTGCTTGAAACCATCTTAACTTATTGGTTAGATTCCGTGCATAATGCACAACATATGCGTCTAAAGGGGACTACATAGTACAGTTGGTAGTATGGTTTTGGTTAGAGCGTTTGGACCTGAAGTATTACATAGGTAGCGCGATACAATGTCCTTACTGCTACATAACAACACGGCAGGCAAATTGCAAATACACCGGACAGAGCCCCCGATAGGCCCCCCGATAGGCCCCCCACAGGCCACCGTACTGCCCGTACTACGGTCCGACTCCCATATATTCCACCCGGAAGTATGTAACGTAGAACTCACCCGCTACTTCCAATACGGCTCACGTGACTGCTACGCGTACTACGTCAGGCTGGCCATGTTGAATGTCCTACGCAGTAGGGAAGCCGATATGAATAGGGGTTGCAGTAGCAGGAGTCTAAATCGGGCCGTTGTTGAATGCAACGGCAGTTGGGATGAGAAGGGTGCTGCTTTCACGAAATAGGCTGACAGTGAGTGAGTATTAGACTGCGCATTTCTCAGTATTGAGTCCGTTGGAGTAGCAGCATGTGTTGGCGGCTCCGTCCGTTGCACAGTAAGAACGCTCACTACAAGAATCTGGGAAACGAAGTTAGTAAAGGTACGTTCTTCCTTCCGGGTGCAGCAATGTGAAGGGCTCAACTGACTCCCAGTCAAGTCGGTGCAGCAGTGGTCGTCGACTGTAGGAGCATAACAGTAAATGCCAAAGGAAGAGGGACACTGGATATATGTTGCCCAATAAGCCTCTACATAGGTCTCACCCTCGCCGCAGAGGCGAGTCATTGAGTAGTAGCCCTGGCGTCTGAGAATAGCATCTCTGCAAAGATCTGTTCAATATTGATAGACGAAAATCATTGGAACATCTGAACAAGGGTGTAATTGGGGGATAGAAGAATATTTACGAGCAAGGGAAGAGCAACGAAGAGATAAAAGAAGAGGTTGGACACAGATGTGGTGGGCTATATACACCCGTCCGTGTTTGCTACTTTAAACTACCATGGTCTACCAGATCATGCTCCAGCCTTTTGAGCGCAGTCCACACAAGAAGCCCTCATTTTGCAGCCATGATCCTGAACCTCTGCAAAAACACTACAGACCGGCGATTCTCGTTCGCCAATCCCATGACGTCTCTCCCATGCTGAAAGCAATATGGTACACAGTTGGCCATGCAGCCGCCTCAAATATGGCCGGCCCAAGTGGCCTTGGAACAAACAAGCGAC